TGGACTCTACTTTTGCTGTGATATTTCAATGAGTGACTGGCCCATAGTAAGCTGTAATAATTAATGTAGACACATCAGACACTCATATTCCAATGCCCTTAAATTTACGCTCTAAATAATTATTTATTTTTTCCTAAATTCTCACCAGGCAACCTTTTGATGGCTTCCTGTATGGCATGACTTCAAAGAGAATGCACCTAAATCCCTTCGAAGTTTCTGTGGAGTAACTACCTATCGAATTCTTGATTTGATTATCTGAGTCTTTATCAATCAGTACATCACTGAGTTGTGCTGCCAAGGACAGCTTGCGAGTGACAGCTTGCAACTTTTTATTACCAGCAACAGTGTTTGGCTATGGGGAGTTTTCTGTAAGTAAACTGGCAAAGGATTGAGGTTTTTTGAGGCTGATTTTCCATTCACCTATTTTATTGGCCCTACAAACTAATCCATAGTCATTTATATGTAACAGTAGAGACTGTAGTAAGTGAGCTCACAATGCCTTTGAAAGGTGAATCTTGGTCAAGTCACTTCAATATACTACAAAAAGAATTACTTTAGAGTGTACTGATATAAAATCTATCAACTTGTTGACATTTAATGGGCTGAAGTCACTTTTACACTATCCATGTGGAAAACTATGCATATAGGGGTCTTGTTAAACCAACCATTCTTAAAATTTGGGCAAGTAACATATAGGCAAATGGATACAGCTAGTTAAAAATAAGTTTTCACTATTAACTTATGAGTCTTCTTAAAAACACTTTTCCAGGATTCAATATTATTATATTCAAGACTAGTATGTTTGTTCGGAAGTAAATTAAAACATTAAAAAAAATACTGTTGTTTATAATTTAGATTTTCACACATTTAGATTGGCTCTCCTTCAAATACTATTCTTAGTTTGAATTAACTCTTCACTCTACATTTCTTACTTTAGCAGGGCACAATATGAAACAAGTGGTATAAACATTACCACTCCTCATTATACGATTTTGAGAAAGTCAGTGTGGCTGCCATGGAGGTATCCCACTCAGGTCTCCGTTCAAAAGCACATGCTGTAGAGAACACAGCTGACTGGTAGCCTTCAGCTGCCACACCTTTGGATCCACCATGGAGTTCATGTCAGGCCACACCTCCCCCAGGCAGTTCTCCATCTTTGACAGAGCACAGTAGAAGTACTAGAACCTGGTTTTTCCTGTCTGCACAGCCTCCGCAGCACCACTACCAGAATGCCTCTACAGCACAGAATCCCACCAAACAGAACAACTACAAGAAAACCCATTTCACAGAAAAGAAGGTATAAGAGTGGGCCATGTTATAGGATCCAATTGTTGTATCATATACTGTACTATTTAGGTGAAACTGGCCTCATAGAGTACTAGAAAGGCGTACTGAAGATCACAGCTAAATCAGCAACCCAGAGACAATAATCTGTGCTCTCCCTCAGGATTTAGTATAGGCACTAATCAGAGAAGTCTCTATGGCACTGTGTCTCTATTTGGAAGATTACATGGATCTGGAAACCAAGGGTTGAAAGCAAGAATGGCCCCATTTACAATCACTCCCAATGACCTACTGGGGAACTCTGTGCTTCACTTCCCACACCCTGGGCTGAGCAGAGTTAGAGATTCTGATCTTAAAAAGTTTTGTCTCTTGCAAGGGGGCAGAGCACAGATCTACTAAACTACAAGCTATGTGTAGCAGTAGGACACTTTTGGCTCTTCACACCCAGGAGCCAGCAAAAAGGGATAAAAGATTAGCAGGAGAAGATGAGGCTACTTTTCCACATTGGGGACAAGGAGAAATACATGTGGAACCCAGGTGACCTACTTGGGTGCCTCTTGGTATGCCTCTGCCCAATCATAACTGTAAATGTACACATGCAGCAACCCTGACTGAGGAGAGTACGATGACCAAGACATCTCAGGAATGGAACAAATGTTTAGGTCAAAAGTCAACAAGATTTGCTGAAGTGATAACTGAGAGTGAGGGGAACATGGATTAGAGAGTGGAGAACAAGATAAGTACCAGTGTGGCCCTAAGCCAACTGCAACAAGGACTATATAGTTTGTCCCATTAATCCCCCTTTTGTAAGTTTATCCTTCAGGATGGTGAAGGGGACAGGGGTTTACAGGAATTATGCAGGAGCTAGACCACAAAGGTAGAATCCTTAATGGGAAAACTTAGAGCACAGCCTAACCTTTAGTTTCTAATAGAAATTTTGGGGGATCATGAATTGCTCTGGTTTTGTTCAATCAGCTATTCAAAAAACTCCTCCAAAAATATGTATAAATCTAAGAATAACTCTGATGCCTGGTTCAAGACCAATCTGATATATGCTGATTCATTCTGATATATTTCAGAAACACAAATATGTATACTGAGCTAGAGCAGATTAAACCTACCATTTGTTTGGTGGCCCTGATAGAACATTCAAGCACAGAACCTTGTAATTCTGAGAGGAGGAAATAATGTGAGGAAATACAGAAGTTTTTTAAAGAAGAAACAACACATGCAGCAGTATTACATTAGGCAACCAGAAAAATTCATTAATTGGCGGAATTCAGGTAGAAAGTTTTTAAAAGGAGAAAGTAAGTGCTGCAAGGAATTTTTTTCAAGGAGTAAAAAGAACCTGGAGGAGAGATACTTAATACAAATGTGCCAGGATGAATCCAGAGAGGGAGAGCACCACCACCAAGCTAAAGACTGGGTGACCTTGAGAATGTCCCCAATGTATTTCCTAATATACAGTTTAACCCCAGGATATACACACTGTAATATACTTGTTAGTTGAGTATGTCTTAAACAGAAGTTTATAGAGCCCAGTTACCAGAGAGGAACAAAAACATCATAATCCTAAGGATGTAGTTTTGGGGAAAGAACCTTAGTATTTCCTCTCCCCATCCATTTTGGGAAATGGCAAAGTAAAGGAATCCTTTGGTGGAAAATAAAAGAGGCATCTTTGGAGAAGTTTTAAATCTATTTCAGCAGAATTATTCAACATGTTAATTATTGCTAATTCACACATCTTCTGAAAAATGATGGCAAATTCAGAGCAACATTCTGGTGTTGAAATTTCTGTTTGATTATCCATGACTTTGGATAACCTGGCTTCATTTCTCCTTTAAACTTATTTTCCCCTCTCTCCAATATACCCTCCCAACTCATCAGGCTAGTCTCTCCACTGCTGTTCAACACATCACACATTCTTTCTTACAGCCTCTGGTTGTACAGCCACCTGCTCCTCCTGCTCAATTCTGCTCATCTTTCAAATCCTATAGTTATTCTTGCCTTTACTCAGTGAGTTTGACTCATGGGGCTCTTGCTACATGCATTACATAACTTGAAAATGTTTTCTTGTACTGTGAATGTTTAATACGTTTGTTTTATCTCCCCAACTGGACTGCAAACTCCTTAAACATATGATTTACCAGGTAAATATCCATAATTGCAGAATTTTAAAACTGCATGACTTTAGACGCTGAAACTGGTATGCACACTGTCACTGCTCTAGTCACTCACATTGAGTGTTGGAGCTAATGAGAACGTTACAGTATAATAAAATGGAATGCTTACTATGTACCTGGCATGAATCTAAGTTCCTTACATATATTAACTTATTTAATTCATAGCATTGGCATCATTCTTAATGGCTTTCTTTTGCTCACATCCCATATCTAATCCATCCAATTCCATTGGTTCTACAAAATAGAGCTGGAATCTTATCACTTCTCACCAAACATACCATCCTGGTTCTTGGCCCCATCACCTCACTCCTGGATTATTGCAATAGCTTCCTAATAGATGTATTCTCAACACTGCACAGTGTAATCGTTCTAAAGTTTTAACTCACACCTCTGTTCAAAACCTGCAATGACCTAAAATACCCTATGTTCTTTTCCTACCCTCTGTCACTCTGACTTCATCTCCCACTACTCCTTGCCTTACTCACTCTGTTCCAGCCACACCGACCTGCCTTGTTTTCCCACAAACACACACATCGTACCTGGAAGTCTGAGATCTAGTTTTTCCTTCTTCCTGTGGCACACCCCCAGTTATATTCACAGCTAGCTCTCTCCTTTAAGTCAGCTCAATTCTCATTTTATCAACAAGGCTTACCTTGACGCTCTAATTCTGCAATTTACCCCTCCACCTCTCTTGTGATTCCCCTTAATCTCTAATTTTTCTTTTTCCACAGCACTTCTCACTTTTTAACATAACAGGTACTTTTAAAATTGTGTATTATTTGCTTTCCCCACCCCCATATAAGCTCCATGAGCGCAGTAGCCTTTGTTTTATTCATGGATGTATCCCAAGAGCCTAAAAGAGTACCTGGTACATAAAAAGCACTCAATAAATACTTGGTGAATGAAATTAGAAGCCAAATGTGCTTTCTGCAAGGCCACTGCTCTTCGGTTACGAGCGTGAATAGGCTTCCTAGCTTCTAAAATCGACCAAGGGCCAAAACCATTGATAGCCTAGAGGTCGTCGGGCAAATCCCAGACTTAAAATTACCACAGCCCCTGGGGGCTCGATTTCACATTTGAACCCCGCAAGTTTGGAAGAGGAGATATGAGTTTAAAAGCTAACGTGTGGACTTAGTTTCTTAAGATGGCTGAGGAAGGGAGGGAAACTTCCACTTCCCTTGCACATCCACAAGTGTTTCAATTCGCAGTACATTTGATTGAACACACTCTCACCAAAACAAACTCAGCGCCACCGGGCTTGGGCTCTGCGACGCGGCGCTTGCCCTTAACTCGGCAGCTTCAGTGCCCTCACTTAGGTGGTTAGGCCGTGCCTAAACGCCATTCTTTTCTAGGCCGGGACGTCCCCGCCACAGGGACGGCGATGTGGCGGCGTGCTCTCCGCGCCCAGGTGACCCATAGGCAGCCGCGGAGACCGCAGCGCCCGTCGGCGGACAGGCGGCGGAGCGAACACCCGGGCGAGGCCCCGCGCGCGTGACGCGAGCTGCGGCGGCGACTTCTCTGCTCCAGCCCGCGGCCGCCGCACGCACGCGCACTGTGCCCAGCATGAGGGTCGCGGCTCTGATCAGGTAACGCGGCGCCCGAGCCGTCTCCCTCCTCCCCGGGAAGCCTCTCGTCCTTTCCTGTTGCCGCTGGCGCCGAAAGAGAGGGTGTCCCTGCCGGAGCCGCGTGTTGGGGGCTCGGCATCTCCTCCGGGCCACAGGAAGAGGCGGAGCCCTCGGGCTGTTGCTCGGCCCGCTTGTCCCTCGCTCCCGGGCTCGCGCTCCTCTTCTCTGTCCGTCGCTGCTTTTGTGGTCTTCAGGTCCTCAAACATGGTTTCACTTGAGAAACTTTAAACGGCTCTGATCAGGTAAAGCGGCGCCCGAGCCGTCTCCCTCCTCCCCAGGAAGCCTCTCGTCCTTTCCTGTTGCCGCTGGCGCCGAAAGAGAGGGTGTCCCTGCCGGAGCCGCGTGTTGGGGGCTCGGCATCTCCTCCGGGCCACAGGAAGAGGCGGAGCCCTCGGGCTGTTGCTCGGCCCGCTTGTCCCTCGCTCCCGGGCTCGCGCTCCTCTTCTCTGTCCGTCGCTGCTTTTGTGGTCTTCAGGTCCTCAAACATGGTTTCACTTGAGAAACTTTAAAAAGTACTGACGCCTGGGTCTCACTGCCAGAGGCGTTGGTTTAATACCCTGGTACGGCCCGGCGTCGGAATTTTAAAAGCTCTAATGGGCCGCGAAGTTTGAGAGCCACCGCTTGACTCCACCCAACAGGTTTAGCAAACCCCGCCCCTTTCTCCTCGCTGTCTTCGTCCTCTTCTCTAGTTGCCTTCTGTCCGCTGGGTCCTATGTGCCCCGCCTTCCTCCCTAGGCTGCTAATGGTCCCTCCCCCTCCCAGTAATGCCACCCCTTCCTCATCTTCCGGCCCAGGTGTGTGGCTCAGCAGGACAGATGTGGATTGTTTATGGCGTCCGTGTGTTTCTGCCTTGGGAATCCAGTACAGAGAAGGGATCTTTTCCCTCGTGGTGAACACAGAATTGTACCAGTTTTTATGCTAAATCCAGTTGCTGTTGCTTCAGACACTCGTCGTTTTAGAGCGACCTTATGATAATACTCTGTATTTCAAAAAGTTTGAAATCTATAGTAACCCATCATATGTACATGTCTAAATAAGACCTATGACCAACAAGGCAAAAACAGCCTTGTTTAAATGTTTTCATACTCAGTCTATAAACTGAGGCAAAAAGAAACACCCTAGCAGCATTAAAAAAAGTTTAGTCTACTTAAATATTTGTTTCATGAGATTCGGATCTATACTAGTATAAAGTGTCTGAGATACATTGCAGCTATTGATGTGTTTACTTTTGAAAATCCATTGAAGATTTTACAAACGTTTTAATTCAATGCCTTAGGTAATTGATACTGGCTGACAAACAATATTGACCTGTTTAGGAGCCCTTGATATTACATTCCAATGCCTTCTGGAGTGACTGGAATGTTCCAGTTTCTTCTACTTCAATGCCATTTTTGGGAGACTAGACTATGTCACAATAGTTATTGTTATTTAGTAAATTTCCTCTGTAAAAGGAATGATTAAGCTTTAACTATTGTGGTTTTCATTTGGTCTAAATAGATAAGGACTAAAAGTAGCACAGGAAATGAGTAATTCACATCCACATTTAATTTGCCAAAAGTTTTACAAGTAAAGTAATGCATACCAAATGAAGACTTAGAAGTATTTGAGGGGAGGAGAGAAGATTGGTGTAGTCCATTACGCTAAGTATGTAAGATGCATATATTACTTTTATAGTAAAACAACTTACTAAAAAAGAAGGCAATATTGGAAAATTCTTTCTAAATCTAGAGCTGTATCAATGTTAGTACTTATGCTGTAAGTATGAATACATAAGCGTATACTTATATGAGTATATGCTTCCATGAATTTCCAAAAAGTTCATGCAAAAATAAAATTGAAAGGTAATACCAATCCATAAACATTCGTTGACCTCTCATATATAATGCCTATGTATTATATATTATATATATCTGTATAATTATTACATATATAAAATATGCATTTAAAACAAACATAGTGAATCTATTTACAATTTGTGTGTGTTTGTGTGTGTGTATGACAGAGAGAGATGGGATATGTGTATGTATTTTAGGGAGTAAATGAAACTGAGGTTCTTACATATCTTTAGACCATAAGGACATTATTTTCGTAATACATAAACAAACAAGTCATTGAATTTTACAGCTGACTGACACCGTGAAGATTATCTAGGCAGGCTTTTCTCTAATTTTATAATGAAGCATGTAAACCCAAGAACATTGAGTAAGTTAGCTTTATATCCCAGATTTGAGAACTGAAACTCTTATCTTATCTTGGACTTCTCACCTATCATATATTTATGACTTCATGGAATTCTAAGAGGAGAGTAAGGTACTCAGTATTTTCCAAGCTTGTTTGACCTTAAAAACTTTTTGGTCTTAGAGAACTCAGTTAGTTGGATGCTAGTGTTCCACAGAACAAAATTTGGGAAATACTATTTTAAATCCATATTTGAAATGTTGACATTTTAAATAAATTTTAAGGCTAAGTTCTGATTGTGGATGCACACCCTTCAATCTTTAATATTCAAAAGAATTAATGAAATCTTTTTGTCTTGGAGAAATAGAGCAGTGAGGTTTAATGACGGAAATTGTGGAAGACCTATTTAGGAGAAAGTCCAGATCTGAAGAGATGGAGCATGGGCTTTTTTGTATTTCACTTTGCCCCTTGCACTCTCCCTCCCTTTGAGAAGTTCTGGAATGAGAGTTGTTACTGACTGGAGGGTGATAGAGGCAGACAAATGTTGAGATTAAAAAGGCAAAAGGGCCAGGTTCTTGGGTCATAAGTTTCTTTTAGTTTCTTAGGCTATGGATAGGTCTAAACATTGCCGGGGGGGNGGGGGGGGGGGGGGGTACATTTGGAGATCTTAAGCAAAGATTGGAAAGGAGAAAAACTGGAGGAAAAAGGAATATAAAAGGGAAAGAGGCAGTGATAAATGAAGAAATATGTATAGTGAGAAGCAGTAGAATATTAAACCTAAATAGCAGATAGGTTGCCACTCAACCTTGTTGTAGATGAAGTACCACTTGTCTTGACTAAATGATATGCCTCTGCCTTCTCTGCCTTTGGTAGATTTGGAACCAAAATTTAGAAGTTCCTTTCAGTCTGTTATTAGATTTATGGTGCAGGCCTTATTCTGCTGTCATCAAATATATGATACA